ACTAACCCTAACTAACCCTAACTAACCCTAACTAACCCTAACTAACCCTAACTAACCCTAACTAACCCTAACTAACCCTAACCCTAACCTAACTAACCCTAACTAACCCTAACTAACCCTAACTAACCCTAACTAACCTAACCCTAACTAATCCTCTCTGCTTCCGAACTCATCGATTCAGCGCAATACGACCCCCCTCTGCATGAAGAATGTAGGTTCGGACACAATGCCTTTGTCCGTGGCCACACAAGTCATAGATATGGTGATGGCCCTGCATTATACGTCGACCTGGAAAGAGATTCAATCACATTTTCAGAGGATGAGATAGAGACCTCGGTGGACATAGACAGTATAATTTGGACGACAAAGGTGTTCCGATGCAAGGGTTCTGTGGGGATCTACATCACTCCGCCATTTCAAACAAAGCCTGGCATATTCAAGCACAATCACACATATGTCGACATTATAATACCGCAGTCAGAAGAGGATGCCAACAGTCCTGGTGGAAGAATGGAATGGCTGTCCAAAAGATTTCCCATGTCTGCCATCCCTCACGCCTCTATTGGGCGCATATCCTCCGCTTCCTCGACACTCAATCTTTATGTTGCATTCCCAAGGATGATACATCAACATCCGATGAATGGTCGTAGAATCACCCTGATGCCAAAAGAGGTCTTGGATATCTTTTGGGATAGAGTGCTGCTGCCATCCGTAGGAGACTGCACCGACGTCAGCTGGGCGCCTTACCTCAAGCACACTTTGGAGGAGGCAAGATATAAGGCGAGAGGTAGAGATGGACGCAAAGGCGGATGGGGACCTCCAAAGACGATACCCCTCTCTGATGATGACTTCAGAGATGTTCAGAACCGTATGGAAGCTCGCATACGTGATGGAGGGGGAGAGCTTAGTATGTATGGATCGTTGTTCTTTATTCTGGAGGGAAAGGGAATCAAGCTCCTGACAAAGGATGGACAGAGAGGCCGTTTCTCAGGACCAGAGGAGGCCCTGCGTCGAAATCTGTCCGACCTTGACTGGTCATATATGATGGACCGGAGGCATGGGGAGCTTCTGGTCGATGTGGGCATCTCATTCACGCCTCGCTCTCCAGATGTTCCTGTCGTCGGGGTGTGGAGATTAGATGCGTTGGAGGCATCGTTTGGTGCAGGAGGCTACAAGCGAGGCGAGATACATCACCATAACATGCTGTCCAGATATGGCGCGCTGCAGGCAGAAATGCAACAGGAAAGGTCGCAGCAGACGCACATAGCATTCAGGAGCACCTATAATCTATACTACGAGTCGATCCGCACGAACAACAACCAGGCGAACTTTGCTTCCGACAGCGATGCATACAAGCTATCTCCTTCATACATGGCTGAATGCTTTGACATCATGAAGGTGGTCGATCATTGCAAAGGGAAGACATACGGTGTTAGAGATGAGTATAGGGTCAGTGGTCACGCAGCAAGGATCATGTTGGACAATATAGAAAGCAAGGTCGGTTATTCATACTCCATTCATTCATGATTTTCATGCAAGCTCAATTACCCTGTATAATTTCAATGCAGGCTATTCAATATCTGCAATCAGATCCAATACTATGGATCCCATCCACAATCTGGTTCGAGCTTATCAGGCGACGTGTACGGGAGATTCAAAGGACCCAAATAAGCATTGTAAAAAAGAACCCTCCAAATCTTGGCATCCTGACTGGTCTGCTAAACCACATGCTTCGCTCGACTACATCAACCCCTATCATCTATGACTCCCATGTCCGTGAATCCCTCACCCTCCTTGAATACAGGAATGTACTCGAGACAGCAGGAATGTTTTTCTTGCAGGATTTTGATATAAACAGCGACACATGCTTGGAGGAGGTGCAGCAAATCGATGATGTTAATGTTTTGGGACTTATGGGCGTAACCGCAAAGGCGCAAAGGGACAGAGCAGTGGGAAGGATGGATGCATGGCGAAGCAATGAGTCAGAATCAAAAGATTATCCTCTTGGTCGGACGCCAACCTGGACTAGCCTCAAGACAGCCATCTTACACTCACCTGGGACGATCATGAGAGAATGGTCATGGACGTCCAGGATGTCCAACATTCTACTCACTGTTGGACGTTTGGTCGTAATGTTCACAAGGCATATGTGGCTCATGCTGACGCAAGAAGTCATGAAAGGCATCATACCCTACCCTAACTCGCTTTATGATGCCATGAAGTGCTGGACAATAACAAGCATCGACGATACACTCGCTTCCGTCGCTTTTGAAGCCTGCAATGCTGGTTTACATGACCATACAGGCGTAACTCCAGGTCGCTTGGGTCCCAAGTCAAGAGCCTTTGTGGACAGATGCTCATTATTTTTTCCTGACCCTGATGCTCCCCATAAGAGCAATGCTCAGTGGTGTCTACTGTGGGAAGGAGATGGATACATCGCAGAATTCCATAGGACAATGAAGACATTAGATGGGGATCAGCAGGAGTCGCTAAAGCAAGGTTTACGTGATGTATTTTCTGAACTTCACTGTCTACCTGCGAGTGGTGCGAGGGTGTGGATCCAAAAGAAGGATGCCATAGTATTCATAACAAATCCTGCATTTTACAGGATCGACCGCATTGGAAGAGGGGGCGAGAGTCAGAGGAGAGCTCCAAGAGCGCGTCGGACTATGAAGGTGATCAAAGGAAAGCGCATATTTGCGGCTGATCTGATGGACTCGCAACCATTTGACACCGATGGGAATTTGAGAAGGAAGACAGAGAGGCAAAAGCGTCGGGAGATTCACAAAAAGATGACTATGGAAAAGAGAAACAAAAGGGTACCCCCACCCCCACGTCCTCGCAAGTCCAGGCCATTCCCAATGGGTGAATCAGCACATGTGGCGACAGATGATGAAATGGATGTGGATTAGAATATATACATGATGTTATATTATATAGATGCAATGAATTTGAACCTAGTCCTTCCCAACTCCCGATGGACATCTTAACTACTAGACTATCTCTTTGTATAGGGCCATGTAGCTGGAGAACATAGCTCGTGCCTTTAGCTATAGCATGGTATTTCCATAGTAGCTCAGAATCCAAGCATGTAGAAAACAGGTGAACCCATCCTGGTGATTCAAGATGAAGCAGATTCTGTGTTACCTGTTCTGACATCTATTCTAGACATGCACCAGTCGCAAAATCACCACCTTCGCCTTCCTCACATCTTTGTCTCTAACTGTAATGACTGGACGGTCTAGTGGTTAAGATGTCACCCCCACAGGTGGAAAGAACTAGGTTTAAAACCTTGTCCTGCCATGATTTCAGCTTTAATTGTAACTGACTCCCTCCATCTGGTCAGAGAGGCAGGAAGCTCTGGACTCTATGAAATTTCTCTTGCTCAATATGCCATTGAGTTGGCTGTGTCTGGCATGGAGGGTGGTAGGAGATGAAGCCAGCTCACGGCTGCATCACGACTCGCATTAATCAAGTATTGCAACATCTGCTGGAGCTGGTTTCATCTTTTACCATCCTCCATGACAGACACAGCCAACTCAATTGCAAATTTGGCAAGAGAACTGTCTCAGAGTCCAGAGCTTCCTGCTTTTCCGACCTGATTGATGAAGATATGAGGTTGGGATGGGTGGGACCGTTGCATGGCGACCATTCTCTATGCCAGACACAGTCAAACAAACGGCAAATTGGGCGAGAGAACTTTCATAGAGTCCAGAGCTTCCTGCCTCTCCTCTAAAGCATGTAGCGAGTTCCTCGTTATCTTGTTTATAATCGAAGACAACACTTCAGAGCTTGATGTATGGAACTGGAAAACAGGTGAACCCATCCTGGTGATTCAAGATGAAGCAGAGTCTGTGTTACCTGTTCTGACATCTATTCTAGACATGCACCAGTCGCAAAATCACCACCTTCGCCTTCCTCACATCTTTGTCTCTAACTGTAATGACTGGACGGTCTAGTGGTTAAGATGTCCCCCCCTGGAGTTGGGAAGGACTAGATTCAAATCCTTGTCCTGCCATGATTTCAGCTGTCGATATTTCAACCCTATTTTTGTTTTTCTCATATAAATGAAGATGTGTTGTTCCTTTCTGAGGCTGAATGGAGAGAGAAACTTGTTTTTCTACTCAATGACATCAAGGATGAAGGTGGTAATCTAAAGTGTGGTACTTACCTTCTTGGTGGTTTTGATATCTGTCTATCGTCAAATATTTTTCTAAGGCGGCAAGACAGGCCAACCAATTTGCCATTGAGTTGGCTGTGTCTGGCATGGAGGATGGTAGGAGACGAAGCCAGCTCACAGCTGTGTCACGACTCGCATTAATCAAGTATTGCAACACCTGCTGGAGCTGGTTTCATCTCCTACCATCCTCCATGACAGCCAAATCAATGGAAACTTATATAAGCAGTGCCATCTGCCTCGTCCCAAGATTGATTACCACCTTCACCTTCCTCACCTCTCATCCAAACATGTAGCGATTTCCTTGCTGTCTTACTTATCGTCGAAGACAAAAACTTCAGAGCTTGTCATATGGAAGTGGAAACAGGTGAACTCATACTGGTGAGTCAAGACGAACCAGTTTGAACACTGAAAACATGACAGGACGAGGATTTGAACCTAGTCCTTCACAATGAGTTCACCTGTTTCTCATTTCCACATGGCAAGCTATTAAGTGTTGTCCTGCCATGATTTCAGCTTTTTGTCTGAGTCACAAAAGTCATGTTGGTCAGTTCAGTTCAGTTGGCTGGCTGCATCTGTTCAAGTTTCATATTTTGTGTGTTCATGTGATTGGCCAGACTTGAAGCAGAAATTGTTTTGAATATGATAGAACCTGCTTAATGCACTGGAAACATGAGTTTGTCCATGAAAAATAACCACCTCATTGTGCTGCCTCCGCATTTTTTCTGCTTATGTAAGCAGACCTACCTTGACCAATGATTGATTTGTTCAACCTTCATATGACTTGCTTGGCTTCAAATAGACATTTCAATTGAGGGTATTGAGCCCTCTGAATACGATGGTAACACCTTTTTCATTCAAAAAAATCACATTCCAAAGTTATGAGTGTCTGTAATGCTGAGGCCCTCAACACAAGGTCTATTGCTTCAGCCTTTATATGACTCGCATGGCTCGATCTTAGGCTCATTATGAAGGGAATTGATCCATATATATTGAGCAGCAACAGAAATGCTTAATCTTGCAGAGTCTTGGTGTAAGTGTGTCCAAGTCGACCGCTTTTGCTTATGTAAGCTGTGTCGCCCCTGTCATGCTGCCTCACTCAATGATTGATTTTTTCAGCCTTCATGCGACTTGTCTGGCTTCATGTTGAACATGATATAGAGGTTATTGACCAATCTGAATGAGATGGCAGTGCTTATTTAATCCAAAAAAATCAGGTTTGAGAGTCATGCTACCCCCTCCCCCCACCTACTTCACCAAGAGGCATGATTTCATGTCAATAACGATGTGAAAAGGATGTTCCCAGTGTTTAAGAGTCATATTAATAGATTGGAGATGGTTTCATAGTGTTCTGAACCAATATGGAATGTGATGTGCGAGTTTGCCTGATACCCCCCCTCAAAGATCGATTTTTCTAGGCTTCCCATGTCTTGCCAGGACTGCAAAAGTATGTTTCCTGGGGGTTATTGATGCGTCTGAAGACGATGGTAAAGCTAGTTTTGTCAGGAAAAATCAGGCTGTTGAGATATGCAAGGTCCCCCTCCCCCCCAAACTCATATATATTGATATTATGTAAATACCGGTATATAAAAGAATGTTCCTACTGTTTTCCATTCATATAAATCGATTGGAAATGGTCCCAGAGTGGTTTGAGCCCATCCTGATCAACATATGCGAGTTTTTATGGTATCCCCCTCAAAGATCGATTTTTCTAGGCTTCCCATGACTTGCTTGTACTCTAGAAGTATTTTTCCGGAGTACTCTTAATGTCCCTGAACAAGATGGTAGAGCCCGATTTGTCAGGAAAAATCAGGTTCTTGAGATACAGAAGGTCCTCCTCCCCCCTCCTACTCCATATATCTGACTACACTCAGGTTTTGCCCAAAGCTGATACTGAAAATGGTGGTTCCAGTGTTTTTAAGGTGTAGAAATTGATTGAAGATGGTCCCAGACTCTCTAGAGGTCGACATTGTTGATGTTTGTTGGAGGGGTGGAAAATTCAGTATTTCGACATTATCTCCAGATCCCAACCGCCGTTTTCTTTCATTCCGAGCTCATATTAATCCTTGGAGATCCTTCTAACATATGTACCAGCCCGAGAAGAGAAAAAAGTTTTGAAAGTTGAAACCTATTTCTGTTTTGACCATATAAATCATCCAGGCAATCAGCCTGCCGTCAGTATGTATACGGTAGCCCGAAAATATCGTGCAGGGCTCACAGGCCAGCAGAGATTGGGTGCAGTCATTCCTCTCACAGATGTCACGCAAGCGGTAGAGCTTATTCCTGTGTATGGCGAAGGCGCTAACCGTACAGCGAGTGCAGCGACGAGTATGGAGATATACGAGCGCTTTTACCTGAACAATTTCTTGGACAAAGAGATATATCATGCATTGCGCTCAGACTTGCACTAGTTACATTTTTGTCATAGTTTCAGCTTGCGGTCCAACACGTCTGTTTTATCTATCTTATCTTTGAAATCGAACGAGATGCAAAATATTATCATTGATCAAAATATTCGGTTGTCCATCTTTTGTAAGTTTATAACGACGAAATAAAATAATAACAGTAAAATAGATCTCCACCAATCGCATGAGTTCGCTAGTGAAGTCGTAAGCGTTCGTAAGTGTCCGTAACGCGCGTAAGTTAAGCGTTCATTTCAGTGGTTTTGCAGATGGGGCTTCAAGCTTCAGCCCCAATGTAAAAGTTCCCACGTGCATACATGCTCAATCAAACTAAGCCTGATGTCTATCGGCACATACTCTTTAGCCAGTGGTCGGGACCCAGAATCATCCTATGCCAATTCCTCTACATATGAGATTAATGATCGCTCAACTCCAATCACAGGTCTCCAAGAAAGTAGCCACGACGAATATACCCCCACTCGTGTGTCTACCCGGGAGTCCGCGTCTATCATCTTCACCACCCCCACACATCGCTCAGCTTCTGCAGGCCTCTCTTCAAAAACTCGCAAGGCACTCGAGAAGTTATATGACCGCAACTATGGCGCCCGTCACTGTCTCGTAACGTCTTCAGCAGCCTACCTGGTGACTGTAGCCCATGCCGTTCAACGTGCGAGCAAGTCCGATCTTGTGGGTAATTTCATTACCTATGAAATGTTCAATGTTAATAATTTCGTCAGTTGACACTCTATGAATATTGTCTTGGTTTAGATTTGAGATCATTCCATGTGGACAGCAGACGAAATATGTTCTATCGTATGACACATTTCTTGCGTGCGGCGCTGTTGACGCTGATGTTAATCTGCAGTGTCACCCCACTTGCATGGTATATTTGATGCTGGTCGCTGGTTTCTCCTGCCGGATACAGGAACACTAAGGAAAGTCTATGACTACGTGAAAGACGCTGTTGCATCAAGGGCAAACTCCCAATCTAGTAAAGGCACGAAACATTTCTGGTTAGAGGTAGGCACTTGTTCTGTGGTATCGCATGCCTGCAACAATATTCACTTTTCCGTAGTGGAATCTCAACAATAAAACACCATACACGTTCATACTATTGCCTGGCGCAGGATGCCCACGCATCTCATGCGAAATTGGTGGTGGAGTTTGGGAAGATCACTCTTATCCTTACCAAGGCCTCCCATTGCTTGAGTGTCATATTGCACCTCCCTTTGCCGTTATAAACGCAGGCCCCAAGTGCACAAGGGATCACATCAATCAGATCGCCCGCGAGTATTGTTCGCAACAGACGAGTGAGTTTCGGAAGGAACTTGAAGAACGACTTACACTTTTGTGTAATACGTGGGCCCTTTTCGAGGATGCGAAGAAAGATGCGAAGGATTGGGAGGTAGAAAAGATGGGTAAGAGGAAGAGGGACCGCGATGACAAGGACATAGAGAATCTTTCTCGAGGGAGCAAACGTATCACACGGTCGCAAGCACGCTCTGCGCACGATGGCACGCCGAAGTCTGATCTACACAGTAATCAAGCAAGAGATAAGCCTCCACCACCGGGCCCTCGCAAACGCAAATTGTCTTCCAGCTTACGCGGAGCTGCTCTTACCGACGACGCAGTCTTTCACCTTGAAAAACGACAGAAGAGGATCGACTTGCGCACACGAGTCCGGCGCTGGGTCACGGAGTCAACCCGAGCCTCATCACTAGACCCAGAGCCCTATGCCTGATCAATCTCATACTTGGTGTTGCGCATTATTGTTTTACCAGTCAAAGCCCTCGATGCGGGTGTTTAACTGAGGTTGTGTGTTGATCGCCCTTACAAACTCTCGTGTCAGTCGATGATCAAAAGCCCTTCAAAACCTGCGTAATTATTGGCGGCGGGATGACCATCTTCAGTGGTAGCACTATCATCCTCCAACGATTTAGTATCACCCATACAGGCACGGATTGTCTTGTAATACCTAGCAGTATTGCCCAACTTCGATGATGCCCTGGAAGAAAAACTGTACAAATATGCCGACGAGGATCACCAGGTGGCTCCTCGGGGGCGTGTATGGTCCGATCGGTTGCAAAGTTGATGGTCGGGTGGCTTGTGTTGAACATGTCTTAGTCAACCGGTTGGACGAAGAGCTGTAGAACCGATTAGTTAGATGGGGTGACGCTTACAGGGGCGCGCCCATGACACCAAATAGATAGGCGAGTTTCCATTTCTGACTCTCATAACGCAATTCGAGCATCCTTCATACAGATCCTTGATATCACAACAGCCCGCGATGCTTGTCTGATTGGGGACTTGTCTATCGCTGAAGAGCTCCTCACCCAAGAGATCCACGTCAACGCCAATGACTTTACTTCATATGCCAATCGTTCGTTCGTTGCAACCCGGAAGCACAACTTGGACAACGCCCTTGAGGATGCAATCAAGGTGAGATGGACCCATCCATCATTGTCATCTTACAGAAGGCTAACATTCATCCGTGACATAGTCAATCAACATTAAACCATCATTGATTGGCTTTATCTCGAAAGGCATCGCCCTCTGCGCCAAAGGTCACGTCCGAGAAGCAAGGGTAGCATTTGACGTCGCATCGATGTTCACGAACCAAAATTCAGAAACCAACCAATTTCTTCTCTTGATCAAGGTACATTTGATACGTCTCCCATGCTATCTACTTCATCTGGTATTCTAGGCCATTGTACTCTTCAATGCAGATCAACACGAGGAAGCAATGCTGCTCATCAAAGACCTGGCTGCCGCTTGTCCGGATGTCGATCCTCTCGCGCGTCGTGTCGTGGAAGTGAGTATCATGTTGCCAAACTCGATCATGAATCCTGATCTTTTCAACTCGCACAATAGACGTATCTAAGTGTTCAGCTCGGAATCAAAGCTTTTGATGGCGCGCGTCACGACGAAGCCGCTGATCACTTCGCCGCCGCCGCCAACTCAGGCGCTTTCTCATCAAAATTCATGCCTCAGATGTACGAGGACTTGACTGTGGTGTGTCAAGATGATGCATACATAATGCTTTTCATAACGTAGTGCTTTGTCCAGCTCTTTGGCTGGGATCTCGAGTCATCCTTGCTAACTACACACCAGAAACGGTGCCAGGCATTCCTTTCAGCAGGTAAATTCGACGAAGCTCTCGAAGCACACAAATACATGATGGACGCCATCGACAACATTGCGAAGGCCAGCTGTCTCGATTGGTCGAACGGCAAGTCTTCCGCCATGTCACTCACTACCGTGCTCATCCGCATGTCACTCAGAGTTCAAGGAGAAATGCAGCACGCTCGCTGCGCACAACGACCGTATTCTTGGTGTATGCACCTTGTTCCTTACCTCTTTCGACACTGACTATGATGCAGGCAGAGACCCCCAGGCAAGATCACGATGGCTATGATGTAGAACCCAATTTCTTCCATGGAATGCATCAAGTGTGTGCAAGAGCGTATCTTTCTGTTCTCTCTCACATAGTTCATTACAGTATTCTCAGATTTCCCAGCCAAGACTTCAGCAGCGAGCTGGGCGCCTTGGGCGCCTCAAAAGACTGAGGCTCGCTATGACGAGGAGGCCTCAGTCAGTTCCTGTACCTGCACCTGCACCACCCGCCACCTCACCACCAGTCGCCGCCGCCGCCACCTTCAAAACTCACCTGCGACGCCTATTTACCCTACCACTCCATCATGCAACGCCACCTGCTGTCGACGTTCCTTTTGCCCAAGGTCGACAGGTGCGCTCGGTTATTTTGTCATGACTGTTTCTTGGGTGTCTCACTCAAATCTACAGCGCAATGCTGCAGCGGGTGCTCCTGGGAGTGACGACTCCTTGATACGTGATGAAGACCCTCCTTCACAGGATCCCAATATGCAACAGCAACAGCAACCAGTAGCAGTTCAGGTAGACACCGGCGAACATGGAGGCGGACTGTCCTGTTGCTGCTGCTAGAAGCATTGGTGAATGACCATGGGTATTTCAGTTTTATCGCTCATCTTGTCATGATATCCACATTGGCTTGAAGCGGTAGTTTATCGATAAGCATCAGCATCCTTTAGCTCACTTTTTGTCCTCCTCCGAGTCTATAGCTGATTGTGAACCTTGATTCCCTCATATGTAGATCTTGACTTGCACATAAGTTATTGATTACTGAGTTTCAGATATTGTGCTCATAGCAAATCATCATATGTTGGGGGCGCTCCACTCGGTATAGGAGGTGCAAAGTCCATTGCAGGTACTGAGCTTCCCCTCTGACTCGCAGGCGTGATTGCTCTTGAAGGAAGGGAAACAAAAGTACCCATACGAGAGACTGCGTCATGGTACACCGTGTTCCCAGATACGGCGCTCTTAGCCCTCACGCTCCACATCGGACGTTCTCCTGTAGGGGTATAGCCTACACCAAGCCTGCGACCGAGCAAAGATTGGGCTGCCTCGGCGTCTTTATCTGATCCCTTGCGCGAGTTTGATCCGCTGCGAGATGAGGAGGAACCAAACCAGCTCCTTCGCAGACAAGAGAAAGAGCTGCACCAACTGGCGGGTCCTGCAACAGGCTGGGTATTCGTGGAGGCGTCATCTTGCAGGCTGCGGGAACCGAGCTCCTGGACGCGTACGCGGCGAGCGGTGAAGATTTTTGAGTCTTCAAGGTCACACGTTGGGTAAGAGGCACCGCGGGCGGATCTTTCCTTTTCATTGAGTAGGGAGTCGTCTGAAGGCTTGCAGGTAACAGCATCCTCGAAAGGTGACTATCGGGATAGTGGTCAAGCAACGCACTCAAGTTGTCGGAGCTTGTCAGGGACATGAGTCAAGTGCGTCTCCGTTTGAGGTTCACCGGAGGACTTCATCTGTGCCAGATACTCAATCATTTTGGAAAATGGTACATGACACATTTTACTTGTATTGAGAGCAAAAATGCCTGGGTTGACCTCAGGTTCGACTAACTTATTGCGCTCTAACAGCACAGCCAGTAGCCAGTCCACGTAGCGAAAGGCTGTGTCCCTGGATATTGCCCGCAGTCCAAAGATGATTCAAGAAGAGCACATGGGCCGTAGCAGGTTATCTGAGGATCTGATGCTATCTTCACCCCAGTGGCAGCGGCAGCGGCACTGGAAGTGGCAAGGATTGTGAGGTAAACGATTTGCACGAGCTTCATGGTATCTGGTATAACTATGCATCAACCTGTGATGCGCCCACGCTAGGAAACCACACACCAGCGGAAAGTTTGAGTGTACAACGCACGCAAAGTTGCTATGACAAAGTCTTAGAAGAGCTGTTATACGTTGGTTCAATGAAATGCACAGTGTACCGCAAGAAAGCTACTCACTGCAACAGGAGGCGTAAGTTAGTCTGAGGCCTTTCAACTCAACTGCGTTGATTTTATACTTGTTCGTGTTAGTGCTGGGTTAGTTCGAGACTATAGTCGGAGAATGTTTTATACTGAAAAGACATACAGCTCTGATAATGAAATGCCATCTCCTTGGAAAGGTACACCAGGTTGATGATAGCCAGCGGGTCGCAGTGATTGCAGAAAGGATGATTGCTCAGAGGGCAATTAGCGAACATTTGCATAATCAATTTTCCAACATTGGCCACTGCTGAGCATTCTTGGAGCATGGCCGTTTCTGAGCGGAGTGTAGGGATAGTGTCAAGAAACGACTTCAAGTTGTCGCTGGCGGAGGTTGTCAGCCACGTAGGTAAGGCATTGAGTTTGCATTGAGTCAGGAGTTTTTCAATGTCATAGGCACATGTGACGCGCCGCCGACAATGCCAGTCACGATCGTGTCAATTCATTTCACCTGCCACCTGTATCGTTCCTTTTTCAGGCCTGGCACGAACACATCCCACCGGCCATGGAAGTTGGTCCAGTACAGTATCAAATTCGCTACAATTAACATGATCCTCGAGCTAATGGATCCCCACCCGTCTATCTACCTGCAGTATACTCCCCTCAGCCACCCATGGAATTACCACACCGGTTAGTTGTTGCTTTCCAGGTGGTAGTGTCGAAGATTACTCATTCTCCAAGCCATTGGACCTGTGCGACGTCTCGTTACAATATTGGCCTCCATCGAGTCTACTCTTTCGTACATGGAAGCTCTACCCAGTCGGGTCTGGGAAACGTCTCCTTATAACATCCCCGTAGACTCTTCCATGCATGAGGCCCCATCCCAATGCCACACTTCTACTGTACCATTCTAATTATTATTTTGCAGTGCGGAGAACCTGTGCCCATCCTAGCTCCCTCCAAACGCCCTGCTCCACCCCCACAAAAAGACGAGACACACATGAATACAACTACACAAACGTCCTCCTCCAGATCCAACCCCTCAACCTGCTGATCATACACCCGAGCCAAAGCTCGACGACGAACGATAAGCACCTAAATTAGACGGAGAGGTCATTCGCGAGACTATATACTCCCTTTGTAGAACTGTCGTGTTGTCAGTTTCTCTTTGCTTCTGTACTTCTGTACTTACACATCATTTCAAGAATCGCATCAGCCCATTATTCTGTCGTCGAAGCCCTCCGTTATTTTCACGATGCAGACAATCAGATAAATCGAGGGATTGGACTTCAAGAAGTGGGATCTTATCAAGTCAGCTTTTCCTCTCACATTTGCACGTGAATTCATCGCAACACCACAGGCTGGTCTGTCACGAACTGGTCCCTCGCAAGCTGGCCCATCGCAATCCTAAATATCTTCGATAGTCGAATTTGCATTTGATTGACGGGACTGATACTTGACTGGTCGTCAGTCTTCTTGATTGCCTTTCCCCCTCATTTTTGATTAGAACCGGTAATGTTGACATTCCAATATGCTAATACAACTAAATTGCCTCAAGGCTTCGAGTTGCGGTCAAGGGCATTCAAACGACGTGGGATGCAATACATGGGAACTGGCGGATTCACTTCTTCGCCGGCTATTTCTCACACTCACTCTGATCCACGCATTCGAGTACTCACGACTGGTGAAGGGACTCGCCTATCTCATCCTGATGTGATAGACTCCAGGTCAGATCATCCTCTAGAATTTTGCAGTTCGGTACGTGGCTCGTAAAATTCATCCTATTTACAACGCTCTGTCTGACAATATCTAGGCCACATATATTCGACGTAGTACGATATCTGATACTTGATATCGGGAATGTACGAGCCCTTCTTCTCGCTCAAAACCGAACTGATACTTGTCGTATAGATGTATCCACACGCACAAATGCCGCTGAGTATGTTGTCGCGTGCATCAAAAGTACGTCTATCTCGTCCCGAGTCCTCTCTGTTTTGCAAATTGTCCTGGCTCAGACGAATCGCAAAATGAATGATACCACTCAGTGGTACATAATGAGTTGTTTATGTTGATGCGATTCTGGGACCAGTTTGTCAGGAACGTGGTTCTCTCCTCGGAGTCTACTACGGCCATAACCATACCTGCGCACCTAGTTCAGCAAATATCAATGAGCCTGCTCCCTAGCATGTACTGGCATAAGCAACTCATCGATCCTTTTTTTTCCTGTCCAATCTAAATTTAGATATGCATGTATAGTATTACATACCGCTTACGAGTAATATTTAGAAATCTCCTCACGTCAAAGGTTCTTGAATTTTGAGGGTAGTTCGGAACAATAGGCTTGCAGTCGTCGTGGTGAGTGGCGAACTCTGAATCAGTCGCCATACTGCCGAATAGTACAGTACTAGTTGTAGGCTAGTGTCTGGTAAACACATGCGACTTGGCGTGCAGGCCAGTTACTTGTTCAGGCGGTAACTATAATTGCCTCGTGTGTACCAAGCTTCTTGCCTCCAAGTCCGAGTCCACGCACCGGAACCTTTGTCAGAAAGCCATAATCCCAGTCCCCATTCCAACCCATCACCGCAGACTTTCAAAAGCATAATGTCCTCCAACAAAGGCGGCCCAAATTCCTATAATAACGGCGCTCCTCCCAAGTGAGATCACTAGTTTTTCCGCGGGAAGGACGCTAGAGGACTCATGGATGGGCCACACCAGATACCTCAACGATTTTAGTAAAGCCCTTGCGAGCGAGGTTCGCATCTTGCTAGCAGAGGTAGGAAAGCTTAGGGATGAGCGCAGGCAGCTTCAATTGTACGCATCCACCCTTTATCCGGCCAATGTGCGTAGCTGACTGCCAACGCGAACAGCGAAATTGCCGAGCTTATGGCCGTTAAATCCAAACATGGCGCAGGAGGTGAATATTCGCCTGACTGGAGGCCACCAGTGAGTACTATAGGATCTTGAGGCATCACCAAGCTCTGATGTAATCGTAGCCTCAAGACCCGCCTCCACCTCCACCTCCCGCAGCTTCCCCACCTCCAGAAGAAGGCTTAAGCGGCCCCGCCCGTCCAGCCTGGAGAGTCGTCCACAAACCACAAAGACGAGAAAAGCCAGCTCCCAAGAGTCTTCCTGCTCCAGCTCCCGTTCCTGCGATCGAACCTCCAAAGCCAAATCTGCCTGCATGGGCCCAATGGAGGCGTATGTGTTATGTTCCTTCTGATTAACACGTCATAATTAGAATGATCTCCATGTTCCAGCAAATCCTGCACACATACCAGCACCGATGCCTGCACCTGTTTCCCCCAGGCCTGTGACGCCAGCTGCACGTCCTGGTCTTTTCGGTACGTCAATGTGTCCCACGTAATACGCAATTAGTTTTATTAACCTTTCGTCGTCTTCCATTCCAGGTCCACCAACTCCCCCACCGAAGTAGAAGAAATCGAATAATTATAGATTTCATGCATCTATATCAACCCGACGTTTATATCCTTCATCTACTGCCATGCTGTTTCGTCATCTCAAGTCCTTATCTCTGAATTGAATGATGTCCATTGGATTGTGCACGCAATTTATTTATATATCTTGGCTACCACACAATTAATGATCTAAGGTGCCTATTCCTGCTGCGTGATATATTCCACTTGTGAACGAAAACATAAAGGTGTCGTTGCACAATGAAGTTAGATGTGATGTTAGTTGATAGCACACATTACAAAAAGAGTAGAAAATAGATACTGGGAAAGTTGCGTATCGTGCAGGGGGAGATGCCGGTAGCCTGCAGATGACGTTAATAGAGTCGCGCCACAGTCCTGAAAACACTAACCCATCGCCAAACTTCCAAGGCTGACACAATACACAGCAATCGGCTCTTCATCGTTGTCGCCATCCCTGCGCACCGCGAAGCGCACAAAGATCAAATCAAACATGTCACCGACACAATCGAAAGGAAGGCTCAGTACTTCCTGCCAAACAGGATTGAAGCCGTTATTCTTGACTGAATTGGTGCGTCTGGACAGCAGTCGACCAGTGGAACCAGTTGAAGAGGGTGAAGTGGTTGTAGAAGAAGAGGATGAGTGATACGAAGCATGAGGCCAGTCGGGAACGTGGATGGAAACTTCGACATATGGGTCTACCGTAGACTTATCCATGATCTCGTGCCCGAGAGAGTCTTTCGGACGGGGTAGCTGTTGAGCAGAGATGACCTATGAAAGCATAAGAGTTGATCGCATCAAGTACAACGAGGAAAATACATACTACTATGTCAAGCGAATGTTGAGTATGCCGAGATAGCAAGTCCTTGTCATGCATACGGAGGGCCAAGGGCTTCAAGACGTAGCCCGCTCGTCCGTTGCGCTGGAACATGGCATGGTTGATCATGTAACCTAGATCTAGACGCAAATCAGTATCAATTGACAATAGTCAGTCTTAGAAATATACCAAATGTCTGCCAGTTGATAGCCACGAGCTGCGCGCCAGCAGTCCAATAGCGATGAGGTAAGTAGTTAGACGAGTTCACCCTCAAGCCTTTTGGATATATTCGAACCAGATGCGTCCTATTGTGCTTGATAAGATCCACCATTCCGTGCTTCACCATCTTGTTGGCTGTTTTCTCAGAGAGAGAAAACATGTGTTCCGGTGCGTAGTGCTCTTTCTTGTTAATACCTCGGCACTTCACACCCACAGTGTATACAAGGAGGCTCGCAACAGCGAACGACATCTTAACTTTGCTGACGTCACGTAATTCCGGTCGAGCAGGGGGCTCAGAGGTCGCCATAGAGGTCACAGTCGGCACAGCAAGAGCAGCTATGCCAGACAAATTGCGGGAATGTCCACTTCGAACACGATCGAATAGACTGCGGGCCCTCTTCAATTCGTCCTTTACCTCTATCGCATCCATGAGCCACGAAAAAAGTAAACTCGCTGTGCGTATCTCACCGTTGATAGCATCCCTTTCAAGGACCCTTAGGTTTAGCCGTTCGTCCCTGGTGTCTTGAACGACATCTGAGTCTGTGGATGTTTCGGTAGAAGAGGACTCCGTGTCGATGCTGACTTCTTTCGTACGAATAGATTCGTTTTCTGAGACATAGAGGTTCTTTGCCTAGAGGTTGCAATACTGTAAACACGAGACTCCACCCATATGAAAAACATAATTCACCTTCAACAGGACCTTCCCTTTCAAGTGCTCCGGACTTGGAAGAACTTCTAACGTCGGGCGTCCTTCCACAGGTGCACTGACAAGCACATCTTGGAATACATCGCGCATGACCTCCACCATCATCTCCTGTTGCAGCACCGAACAGTGGATTTCGGCAGATATGATGACGGGGTATGGAGACGTGACGAAAGCGTACTTTGCGATGGCTTCGCACACTTCTCTCACCGGAACTTTAGAAGTAAATGTCTTTCCATGAAATATCATCGGCTCACTGTCGCCATCGTAGACGTCAACTGTAGTGAAATGAGTCAAAGAAACCTCAGAAAATATTGCACTTACTCTCGACGCTACGACAGCTGTGAAGAAGAGCCCGGATGTAGCCCTCGATTGTACTAGAACCAACGAGTTGGTGACCGATAAGATATGTGTTGTGCGAGGAAGATATAAGATACTCCGAAAGTGGGCGCGTCATGTCATGACATACTTTGCCTTGTCGCTCTATGAAAGCTGAATTGTCCGAAGACAAAAGAAACGAGGTAAACCCATCAAGTGACATGACCGGTCTAGGTGACTGAGAAGATGCAGAAAGTTTGTGACTTATGTAGTCCAGCGACACTTCGATGGGAGCTGTGAGGGATTGTGATAACACAGTATCGGACGGGGGAGAAGTAGACAATGGAGGTGAAAGCAATCTTGCGGGCGGAGATGCGGGTCCTTCAAGCGAGGATGGAGAGTGTGGCGGGCTGACGTCCGGTGAACCATCCGATTTCTGGGCGTAATGCATGAACAGTTCTAAGAGTCCAGGGCGGGACAGCGTAGACTAAATGATATTCAGTTTCGCAAGGCTGAATCAAAACGAAGAACATGCCTTCTGAGTATCACGCAAGAAATACTCAAAGACGCTAAAATCAAATTTCCCGTCATTGCTGTAGCATAGTTTCCGATACAACAGGGTGATATCTGGGCGTGCCTTGAGCAGTTTGACGAAGCGCTGGAAGTCAGAAAAGTTAAGAAAACCCTGGCACTTCGTGTCTGCTTGCTACGCAGTTGTGAGCTTTTTGTATGAGAAAAATGAGTTTTCTCCACCTCGAATAGTCGCTTTAGTTCCTCTGTCGAAGTGTTGACATTTAGGCGTCTGCAGAGCTTCTCCACCTCATCAAAGCGCAGCTTCTGGTCGCTCGACTCATCCGATGCCGTCCAGTACTGCTTCTCCCAGATCGCATGTCTAATCTCTTCATTCCCAAGGCCTGTCATAAGTTCTTGGCGTATTTCATAAAGCTTCCTCAGTGTGATGTGCCACATGCAGAATACATCCTTAGTCGAGGAGATCAAATGGAGAGTTTTATAGGCGCCATTGAGAATGTAGATGATGGTAATCCATCTGTCTTCGTAATCCTGCGCGAGTTGGAATTGTTGGCGATAATAACGGGCGTCGGATGAGAAGCGAAGCTCCTTGATATTCTCGATCGGAACTGTAATAATTCAGTATGTCAACAGCCCAGAGGATAGCGTTGGTCAAAGTACGTACTGATCCGCAGTTTCTTGGATTGCCATATGATCTGACCTTGATCAGGATCGAGTTTAAATATATAACTTCTCTGCTTTCCAGGAGAGATTTTTGTCATCTTTACTCCTTCTCTTAGCAGTAGAGGAACAGTTCCGTCGGCCATGGATGACTTTTCAGCAATGCGTCGTGTGGGTGGTGCGATGTCAGAGATTGTTGTACCTGGTAAATTGGGCACAACAAGCGTCGTCGCCGTCGGTTGCTCTTCCGATGAAGAGACTGCGCTAGGCGTAGTCGTCATGCTTATTGGAGGAGGACATGAATCAGAATGATCATCCTTCCTATTACGGCGAGCATCTTGACTCCTCGATCGAATAGACTTGACCATCGGAGCCGTTTTCGCCTTGAGAAAACTTATCATAGAATCTCTTAGCCTCCCGTTCCCATCATCCAAGTTCGCGTGTAAGGCCATTCCCCTGTCTGGAGACGGGTCCGGTGCAGTAATTTGGAGTGCTTCCTGCGCAGCTAGCGTGGGTATACCAGTACTTGTCAACAAGCCTTTGGCACGTTGCAGAATGTGTCTCGAAGTTGGTATCTGTTTTTCTATAGCAGGTTTGGATCTATTGTGATCGCCCATGGTCGTCTAAGGTCAGGGAGGTATTTGACGAGAATTTGGCACCCACGTTCGTTGTGCATGTGTGATATATCTAGCAGAGCTGTAATGAAAATTACTTGGCGGTCGGAGCCGAAGGTGCTGTGTACTGCCTATTGATGCGTAGGGCTCATTGACAATTCTAAAAGTTCGTGTTCAGGCAAGTTACGATATCTACTGCCAGTGATTAATCGATTATTGATTACCCGACGCTTACAAGTTGCTCCTTGTTTGGAACTGTGCGCTAGTGACTAGCCTGATGGCCCTTTCGGTTATCGACTTCCATCATTCAACGCGTCCAACATTCAGAATTCAACGTTATTTCATGCCCCATACACACGGACGAAGACAAGATTATGGGGATATCTTACACAACTTTACATTTGCATGTTCCGGCCAGTACATTGGCTGTATGCATCAGAAAATGTTATTTTTGGTTGGTATGCAGACCTTACGAAACATTCTAAGCCCTCAATTGATCAAGTCCATTTGAAACGCTTCGAAGCTTCGGAAGCGAAACCCAAAAATCTTGCAAGCTAAGCGCACTTTGGCCGATAGACTTTGCTGTGTGAACCGAAGTGCGCCTCGTTCCATTTCGCGAAGTAGGTGCACAGGAAACACGAGGAAGGTACAAAAGTAATCTATACAAATCTATACAAGTTATAATTGGTTAGTTCAGGTCCCGTGGTTGAATATGTACAAGTCAGTTGTGAGTAAAGTTACGTGTGGGGTATCATAAGGAGACAATCCATGATGAAGTAAAAGTAAGAGACGAAATATCTAGGGCTACATGTGTATGAGTATGAGTGAGGTAAAAGTAAGAGACGAAATATCTAGGGCTACAATGCGGTGATGACCAACGAGTCAAATCCACGACTCCGCTTAACGAAAGTCGACGATGACCTCAGCCAACCATACATCATCGTGGACGTTCCAAAGCGCCGAAAGCATGAGGCGATTAAAACCAATCCCACCATTTCCGAAGCGCCAACTGGCGCCGTGCTGTGCAGGGGAGTAACTTTGCAGTTCCTGTGGAAATGCTGTGAGTGTGAACACGACCGAAACTGTAGAAAAGACAAACCTCGATGAAGCGCGCGAATGCACGTGCAACTTGGACGGCGAGTGGCCCGCGGGTAAGAGGACCAGCTGGAGTATGAATGTCAAGGGGGTAAGTGCGATCAAGATGCTCATATCCCGGCCACTAAAGTGAAGGAGATTAGGCAATGGAATTAATGCATAATATGGGTTGATTTACCAAGATCTTGAGATTGACTCTGCGAAAGCCAAAAGATCCGCTCATTTGAGCACCGACGCCATCATTCGCACCGACGAGCATACGTTCCAGTGCACCTCCCGAACGAGCCAGCAGCTCACACATTGGAACGCCAAGACCATGCGAGGGAGCCCCATAAAGGTCAAACGTGACAGCAGGACAAGCAGGGGAACGACGAGATGTTGGCACCTTCGATGATGGCGCCTGAGGCAGGCGTCGGTGGGTGGGCGGCAGAGCTTGAGCGAAGGGAGGTTGATACGCGGAGCATGCACCAGCAAGGGCAGTGTATGATGAGTGAACGCTGCTGGGAACAGGGGGATGAAGAGGGTTTATGTACGCCATCGTAGAAAGTTATGCGTATGCAGGAAAAGAGAGATTATCGGGATGAGTACTTGGTGATGACAAGACATGTAAAACTGACCTTGGATTTATACTATCGTATGTCAAAGAGAGAGAGAAACACATATGGGTGGCTCGAGCCAAAACCATGAAAGGTACGTAGTCAAAGCGATTGCTGCAGATTGCGTGTAAACCAAAATAAGTGTATCTTTGTGGAAGTTGCCTTACGAATGATCTTTTGTGCGGCATTTTGTCGGTGAACTCTTTGATGCGAGTTCTTTCATAAGTGTCCGCTTTGAAGATAGCGCCTGCTATAGCTTTAACTTTTGAGCAAGGGATGTGACATGAGAAGGATAAAGCTTTAGCACGAGGCAGTACTCTTCGGAGAGACTGCCTCGTCTTCTGTGAATTCCCACAGTGGTTACTATGATACTTACACCCTCGATAAAATCACAATCGCGTTAAGACAAAGCATACGATCTAGAGTTGGAATGGATACATCAATCACTACTGCAATACAGGACTTCAACCGATACAATTATTCACCAGCTTTCTTCTTTTTCTCTTCAACGATCACGACATTGTCCGCAGGCACACCCTTCAATGGACCAGCTCCGCTTTCAATAAGCTCCATGACGTCGTCTGATACATCTCCTTGCACTACGATCTCATCCTGTCCCTGGGCGTTCTTGGTGACGGATGCCCCAGTAGCAAACTTCTGAGCAAGGAATTTAGCAGCTTTTTTCAACTCAATGTCTACATGTAATTTGTTTCATTTGATGGATTGCCCACAAAGCGGTAAACATACCAAATGCCTCAAGGCCATGGATAGCTGTGACGTGTTTCCGCTTGTTACGTTCGATGCGTTTAATTGACACTTGCGACGCCTGGATGGACTTGAGTGATGAATCCGTGATCCAGGTAACTCGAGGACGTACCATCTTTTTCTTAAGCGCAGCATCCGCCTTTGCCTCAGCCTTTGCTTCCTTTTTTGCAGTGTCCTTCTCGAGTTTTGCCTGCGCCTCCAAACTGAGGGTACCAATCTTTGACTGGAGAGCCTCTTCAAGATCATCGCGATTAGCAAAAACTAGTTCTGAGATACAATGCTTACCATCTGAGTAGTATTTATCAAAAAGCTGAGAGTGTGCCCCTTGGAGCCATTCCTTGCATCTCGTCAAGCTAGAGCCAAATTCACAGTATTCGGGAGGAAATGTACAGACTGAGAAATTAACGTACATCAGTAATACGGGTCAAAAAAGGAAAATCGTGTTTACTTTGGCAATACAAGATCTCTAACGGACGGACAGCCTGAGGCTCTTGTTGGTCTGAGGAAGACATGATATCGGTAGATACGTGACTTATACTAGGCCCATCATTCGTCATATCAAGGGGTCGACTCGGGGCAAGGACTCCGGGATGCGTTTTATTATGTAATAATTCAAATAATCATTTATCAAATCTTAGATCATAAATCTTTGAACTCCGAACTTGATCTTTGCGAGAAATTGATTTTGCATCGTGCACATCATTCACGATGCCTCCCTCAGCGTCAAAGCAGAAGAGGCTCGCAGAAAAGGCCGCAAAGCAATCTGCAAAGCAAAATGGCACAACTTCGACGTCTACACCCAATGACTCTGTACCAGGCAGCATGTCCCATACCCCACTCACCAGTATTTCTGCCGCCAACAGCACGGATGATCTGACATCTATGGCCAAGCTCCAGATCGCCACCGATAGGTGTGTATCATGTCCATTATAATGAAGTATTCTGATCCGGCTATAGGAGTGCAGCGGGAGTCCTTGTGTCAGATGCGAAAGGCAGAGATATTAAAATCGATTCCTATACGTTATCATTCCATGGTCGTCTGCTCATCGAGGGTGCAGAAATTTCCCTCAACTACGGACAGCGCTATGGTCTATTGGGTGAGAATGGGTCTGGAAAAGTATAGTTTCATATTCCCTCTGTATCTTACCATCTTACGCATTCCCTCAGTCTACCTTCCTCCAATCCATCGCAGAGCGCGACATCGAAATTCCACCACACATTGACATCTACCTCGTCCGTGGCGAGGCAGAGCCGTCCGATGTCAATGCCGTTGAATTTATCGTGGCTTCCGCTCGCGAGAAGGTCGCTAAACTCGAAAAGCGCATCGAAGATCTCAGCATCGCAGATGATGTTGATGATGCTGCACTGGAAGCCGCGTACGAGGAACTCGAGGAGATGGATCCAAATACATTTGAGACCAAGGCTGGCAGTATCCTCCATGGTCTCGGCTTCAGCCAGGCTATGATGGCCCGTCCTACAAAAGATATGAGTGGTGGTTGGCGTATGCGCGTTGCCCTTGCGCGTGCACTCTTTGTTAAGCCACATCTACTCCTCCTTGATGAGCCGACGAATCATTTGGATCTCGGCGCTGTCGTTTGGCTTGAAGCATATTTATCAACATACAACCATATTCTCGTTATCACCTCGCATTCGCAAGACTTCATGGACTCGGTCTGTACTAACGTCATGGATTTGACGATGAAGAAGAAGCTCGTCTACTACACCGGTAACTACACCACCTACGTGCGCACTAAACAGGAGAACGAGGTGAATCAGATGAAGGCATACCACAAGCAGCAAGAAGAAATAGCCCACATCAAAAAGTGCGCCTATTTATTCCTCGTAGTTCCTCATTAACTGAACGCTGTCAGATTCATCGCTTCCGCTGGTACATATGCCAACCTCGTCAAGCAGGCCAAGTCGAAACAAAAAATCATCGACAAGATGGAGGCAGCAGGACTCATTGAAAAAATCGAGACACCTCGGCCACTGCACTTCCACTTCGAGGATATTCGAAAACTCCCTCCTCCCATCATTGCATTCGACGAAGTCGCCTTCTCATACTCGGGCAAGCCTGAAGATTATTTGTACAAAAAATTGTCATTCGGTATAGAGTGCGTCTTTTCTTCATATCTCAAGTCTTGTCCCGCTCACTCGTATGTAGTATGGATTCTCGTGTAGCCATCCTCGGTGCAAACGGTGCTGGAAAATCGACACTTCTCAACCTCATCACTGGTGTCCTACAACCCTCTCAAGGCACTGTTTCCAAGCATGCTGCGCTCAAACTTGCCAAGTACAGCCAACACAGCGCGGACCAGCTACCATACAACAAAAGTCCGATCGAGTACTTCCAAACGCTCTTCTCTCAAAAATACCCCGAGAAGGACTTTATGGCGTGGAGGCAGCAGCTCGGCCGTTTCGGCCTGAGCGGTGCGCACCAAACGAGCGTCATCAGCAATTTGTCGGACGGGTTGAGAAACCGGTAAGCAGTCTAATATGAATGGCGATGTCTGACTCACAGACGTTCAGAGTGGTATTCGCGCAGCTCGCAATGGAACATCCTCATATCCTACTCCTTGGTTTGTTCTTTTTTTCGCTCGTTTTCTGACAATTCACTGATCAGCGATGAGACAGATGAGCCTACGAACCATTTGGATATGGATTCCATCGATGCGCTCGCGCGTGCAATCAAGGACTTTGAAGGTGGCGTGGTGATCGTGTCACACGACTTCCGTTTGATTAGTCAAGTCGCTGAGGAGCTTTGGGAAGTCGCTGATAAGACAATTCGCAATTTAACGAAGGAGGATATTACTATCGTCGACTACAAGAAGAACCTTGTGAAGCACAGTACGATTTCAAACCCTCTCGTCTAATCGTGTGCTAATTATCATGTAGGCGAGGCCCAATTGGAAAAGGCCAAGCTCATCAGCAAGACCACCACTAAAGGGAAGACGTAGCGACCCAGTCATGTTTCATGTGTACATCTAAGTATATGTATACACCGTACACTGCGCCCCTTACATGGGCCACACACATATCTCGCCATTGTAGACACGCCTTTTTTCATTCGATTGTTGCACAACTAGCTGGATCTTGCATCTATGTGTTTGTCATGTCCAAGACCACGTTTTCGCTTTTAGATGTCTTATTGATGATCATCCCTGTCAGGCCTTAGGCTTACGAAGAGAACTCACGTTTAATGTAGTAGTCAATGTTTAAACGTTTAGCAACGACTAGATTGTTTGATGTCTGCAGTCGAATGGTATGAACACCCGTACCAATAAGTATAGTATTGACTCTGGGACTTGCCACAAAGACGGCAGTAAGAGATATGGCAGTGAGCTAACCGAGAGTACCAAGTAAATGAGCGAGAGCGTACAAGCAAGCGGGAGCATATAGCAACAACCGTTCAAGCGAGAGCATCCAGTGAATGAGACAAGAAATGATGATCGAGCGAGCGAATGGCGCATCTCTATATGCGCAAACATGTCTTCAAATAAAATACACATTAGTTGTTATTATAAACGAACTATACTACGCAGTTGTCCAAGACGAGCCGCCGAGCGGTATGCGCTTGTATATAGTTAGATGTAGGTTGGGTAATTTTGGAGACGTGTGTCCCTCCTGAGATAAGCGATTCGTTGTGCAACGATAGGGTTTTCTCCAACAGTAGGATGTAGTACGACGACATGAACACATCCGCGCTCTACTCCATCCGTGAACACTTCGAACAATTTGGTTAACGGCTTCAACTCCACACCTTGGTCTTTGATTGCGTCGAGTAAGTGTAGGTCGTTCAAATTAACCTTGACCTTCCAAATGATCAGATCGTCAGCATTAGACCTCTGGCATCGATCACTCACCTGCCATAGCTCGAAAGCGTCAGCAGCAACACAGTCAAATTGTGGCTTCTGCGCGTCCTTGATAAGCTTTTGGAGGGCGCTGACACTCTCTGTCGGTGCAATCTTGATTTCAAATACACGGCGAAGATTATCACCTGAGAGAATGTAGTTGAGTTTGAGGTGGAGCGGTCCAGAAGACACTAAGTCAGACTGCAATCAGTAAGGAGGAAAAGGTGGCAATATCAAAAGACAACTCACCGGTAGGTGTGGGCCGGATGATGATATGCACATGCACATGCTTACGCTGAGCATTGTCGAGCATTTCAGCCACAGGTAATAGGCATTTCTTTGTGTCAAGTGTAAAACTGGTAAGGTTTTGCTCGATCGTCTTGTTTACAGGCAAGTCGACCTTCCAAAATATCAGATTTTCAACACCCAATCGTAGGCATCAGATCACTTACCTGCCATAGCGTCAGACCGTCAGCGGCAACATGTTCAAATTGTGGTTTCATCACGTCCTTGATAACCTTTCGGAGGGCGCTGACACTCTCTGTCGGTGCAGTCTTGATCTCAAATACAAGGCGAGGATCATCGCCCAAGACAGTGCAGTTGAGTTTGTACATCTAACGTTGAGATCAGGAGTAATAGCGTATCGAGGAGGCAGCCACACCACGTGACCGCGGTGCAGTCTGAAAAATAGGCCGGAATTATCCTTAGTTTTCTTCCTCTGGCTCGATAATATACTGAATTCCATCATCAGTCCGAACAACTGGACCCGGAGTTTGTGAATGAAAGAATCGCTGATGCCACCAAAGGTGTGACAGGCATGAAAATTCTTAGCAACTGAGTACTTATGCATCGATGGCCCATAGGGTCTGTGGTTTAGTATGTACAACAATCATGTTGTACTCCGGTGGGTCACCCAAAACTATTACATCAGGAAAATAACGGAGTCCTTATTTGCACTTTTGCAACTTGATCCATCTTTCTCCTCTCCTATACATATGGCTACGGTACCCTCAGTTCAGCGACCGAGATTCAATCCTTCAAATTCATCAGGTGTCAGTGATGTCCACCGGCTTCATCACGACATACCGTCGCTGTGCAATTCAAATTCCAATCCTTTGCACTTCAGATTCCAGTCGTTGGTTAGCTGTCTTACAGATGTCCCGCTTGAATTGGTGCGCAGTCTACAGGCTATCTGGTTCTAGTTTGGTTGATCTGATTTACTCCAACAGTTCGAGGCGGCTGTTTCGCAATTGATTCATCGCCTAGAGTACAAATCTTGCGCTCAGAGATCATCTCAGACTCCGATACCACCATCCCAACGTCTTCTCTATGTCTTGAGGGATACCACCCTGTACGCAATGTTCACTGCAAGCTGCTACCGCGTGGGCCGGGTAGAGACTCAGGACTAGAGCAGCACTGTACGCTTTACGCCTTTGAAACTGGTGAATTTGCGGGCCTTCCGTCCACGCTGGTCCTTATACCACTTGTACCCGAAGGAGAGCCTGCCCTACTATCATCCTACGGTGTCGCATCTTACTTTCCGGTTCATCCCTTCCAGCATCACCACAACTTCAGATTCAGCTTCTGCACAATCGGCACTGCGCATTAAAGTTGTTCTACTCCCAGGCACGCCTACCGACCCCAACAGTCGCCTCTACCGTACGGCGCTTACACTCCTTGACACACTCCATCGTTACCTTTGGGGTGCATCCACTCATTATCCAGACAGCCACCGCGCGACACACTTCAATATGCAATATGACCCACTGTGGCACTGGTAGTTAGTAGGATCAAGACAAGTATATCATAGGGATTCGGAGGCCGAGATTCAAACAAAACTTGCCATTGGGCTACAAGTCTGTTGTGCGGAGAGAGAAGCCTGGAGCGCTCATTTTCTCCCATTCGAGTTGGCCAGTGCACAGATGTCGTCGATGCTGCTGTGTATACAGATTGACCCGTGCTATTTGGCAGCAGTTGTCGAAAACTTCAAAGTCGTCGAGGCGGATCGGAGCTCGAAATTGAACGTTGAGCTTGAAGCTTTCAGCAACTGGTACTCTCTCTTTACTAGCCGGTGACCAGCAAAAGTACGTTTCTTGCATTAGCAATACGAAACCAATTTACTCATGCGTCTGGGTCTCTCATGAATGCTACTAGATATTCCGCTCCTTCAATCGCGAAGATTCCCTCATGCCAATAGCGGTGGGTGGCGTTTGTAGTACTATGGTTTAAACCTGAAGTTTAAATATTTTACGAGGCCCAAGCATTATGGGCAGATAGACGATGTTGTGGATCTACTGATTTGAAAGTTTAATTAAACATTGACTGGTTACCGGTAAGCATCCAAAATGCGCGTCATATATTCTGTTGCATGGTGTCACGCGAGGCCTTAGGTGCCTAACTTCCGATGCACCTATGTTTAATGATACTGATGCTCAGCACCTCCCGGCACCTACTAGCCAGCACAGGTCAGCACTGAGTCGAGGCCCAACGCTGCCTCATACTCCTGTCATCGTCAAGAAACCTGACATTGCACGCTCTAGTTTCGTCTCTGGACCTGAGTGCATTCCCCTCGTTTCCATCAGCTCGTGGAAATTTTATCATGCATCGTTGACTTGGCATCTCATTTTACAAACTTTGTCGGACGTCTGGGCGCATCACGTGAGGTTCATCAATGTGTACCGTGTTGATAATGGCGCTGATCAGTGCTGTGTTGTTTGATTGAAAGACGCGCAGCGCAAGCCAGGATCTGTCCCCTTACGCAAGGCCTGCTGAACGACTGCATCCTCCACCCTGTGGAGCAAGCAGTCTGTCTAGTTTTGTTGCCATTGTTATTCTCCACAAATGGAATAACCGCTCTGCAAACCCCGTATGAACCTCTTCGATTTATCTTGAACGAGGATCTGCTGCAGCGTCCGTGCCAGCATTGAATATTGACCCTCAGTGCGGGCGAACAACTATGCAGCAGTGTGCATCTATGGGCTCGCAGGTAGCATCGTGCGGGGATTAACCGGTAGACATGGAATGTAAGTAGCTCGGCTTCGCTTCGCATGATAACATCATCCCGAGGTTGATACTCGCATATAGGCCTGGCGTGTGTAATTTTCTTTGTATAAGAACCTAAATCACTCAAGTGGCCTTGGCATAGGGCTGGTCGTGTTCTTGAAGTCGAGGTGACAGATATACTTTTAATTATCATCGTGGTCCTCTCAAATCTCATGATGGGTGCTTGATAGATCGTGACTACTGATGGAAGTACAAGAACCATCAATGCTCCAGGACCCTGGGATCTTCTGAGTTGTGAGAGGCGGAGGCGCTGGAAGCTCGGGAATCATCAGTGGGTGACCTGTAACGCCGAACATAGATGGGAACTGACATGTTGTACGTAGTGTCCAAGACAATTCAAACATTGGCATCGGGGCGGGGCGTCTCTCCTTGTTATCGAGTCAAATCCTTCCCAAAACTTGACTGCGCTTGCCATTGATTCTATCGTGTTCCTGGGCAAGTATTGAGCTGAACTGGTTAAATCTGACATAGTTTTGGTTCTGGTTCCGTTTGAGGTGCAGTACATCCTCGTAAGCCAGGCAAACTGATCTTTTGCCCTCATCTGTCGCAGAACTTTTAGTACTTGCCCACCACGATATCGTGACCCTTGGCCCTTTCGTCCAATTACAGCGTGGTATCAAACACAACCTCGGCAACGATGTTCGTATGTGTCACAGCTACTGGAACGAAGAACATCGGGCCTTTCTTTGACAACGCAAACCTCTACGGTGTATCAGACCAACTCTCGTCTCGTCTCATTCCAAAGGCGAGCCTTTCAACGTCAACGTCAATACAAGGAGTAGCAGAAATAACAATCTGGGCAGGAACTTTCCAGTCCGGACCGCCGGATACCTTCGGTGCGGTCCCGCCATCATCTTGTTAGGGAATATGCTAGCTGCCACGCCAATGAGACAGGTGGGAACCCTGGGTTATATGAAGCCGCGTGGCATGTGGTCTATGCGATTTGCGTTGTGGACATGGGTTCTTCAGGCCATGGACAGTTGATGCCAATGAGACGACTAGCAATGCGATTGTAGAAGGAGCCTACGATACGACTAATCCCCTTACTGTGCTTGGCAATAGCTGTGAGCGGTTATCAAAATGAAGACGATATTTCGAGGTGAACTTACAGCAAAGTCAGTTCTGTTCGTCGGAGTGTTCTTTAGGTATAGATATGCAAACCTGTCTTTCCATAAAGCGAAAGTATCATCCTGGAAACTATGAGTCCACCACTTGTAAGACCATGACTCGCTGCATGTTTACTCTTCATTACTTGCAGGGTCAGTATCTTTTTTCCAACGTCTCTTCTCGGTGGCGGCATTGAACGGTGACTTTATGTGGTGTGGCCTCAGTAGCCAATCATAAGACATCAAATGTTATGCTGAAGTTTTCACGGCGATCCATCAGTGACAAGGACCATTAGGAGAAAACAGTTGCTTCGACGGTACAACAGTAATATAACAGACGAATCCAATTCTCGTTGCAACTTGCAAGTCAAACTACTAACTAACCGATGCTACATTAAACGAATTCGAAAGGAGTGTGATGGACCAAAACGAGGTCAACTGTGGCTACCTACTGTGATAATGCTATAGCTAAAAACCAAGCAAAAAGTCCTCAAGGCTTGTTAGATCCTTGAAATGAACAGGTTACGATGCAGAGTGCTCTGTTTGCATTACATCACCCCGTGTACGGCCAACTATTTCTCGCGACTGGACTCGCTCTTTCTTCTCAGGCGCCATGTCGACAAACGGCGCGGTTGATTCCACGCCCTCCATAGGAGTACGTTGCGGAGATGCGATTGGGTCCATATCCACATTGACAGGTGGCGATGGCGTGCGTTGAAGTCTCAATTTCTTTGTTCTAGCGGAAGGATTAAGGAAGCCACACTTCGGGCATACGTATTCTGACAGACGCATCAGTATGTCGAAGTGAGCAGGTTCTGAGCGATCTCACGGGTGTCCTCCCAGACGCTCTCCTTAACGAGCCCGTTGTGTGAGAAGCACTTCTGGCAAATCAATGCGTAGCGTGAGGCAGCCACGTTCATTGATGATTCTTCATCGCCTAGAATGGCATCGGCGAGTTTGTCATACCATCGCTTACGAGTCGGCTGAATTGGCTGTGGCGTTGCTGCAAGATGTCTCAGAGTGTCAAACTATCCGCAGACGCGTAATCACGTACGCGAAAGCTGTAGAGGTACATTCCTTTGTTGGACGACAGGTGTTTGTAGGTGTGCCAATGATGTTGCGGACAGTGGTGTATGGAGCTGTGAAAGAGGCTGCGGGCGGCGTATCGGGGTGCCGGGATCAGCGTATTTCTCAAGCAGGCTCCGTGTTGAGTCATAATTGGTCTTTTTCTTAATTTCTTCAACTTTGGCTCGCTGCTTTTGAGTGACAACTCTGAGGGTTTTTTCTGCCGCACTCTCGTCGAATGGTGAAAGAATTTGTTTCTGAAAAACTCACCTTCGCGTCCGCCTTTCCAAGAATACCATATCTGCATCATCCTCCGTGTAAATAATATTCTAGGGTGACACATGAATGTGGTGGGAATAGATTTAAGCGCATGATAGCACGTACATTACAGGTCCCACTAGGACTGCCACTTTCGCTAGCAGTGAGTCATGCCACGCTGTTGGAAGTATACGCGTATACCACAAGTATACAAATGAAATCCATAGAGAGAGCGTTCCAAGCGTGAAGTGGAGTGTCGTCCGCCGCTCACGGAGTCGGATCTCTGCCAGACGTGTCTGTCGTCGTGCAACATCTGCTGCAAGTGCAGAGAGAACTTCCTCGTAGTTCTCTGACCCACCCTAGTAGAGAAAATTTAGCGCAAAACCACAGAAAAGGGCTGATGAGCTTACCTTTGAGAACCAGCGGGTTACAAGGGACATGACGGGTTGGAAGAAGCAGAGTAGTACTGTATAACACGTCAGTTGGACAAATCGGGCTCATTATGAAACACGCCCTGCACAGCCACATCATCCACCGTCTCTAACTTGCCCGATGCCGAGCTACATTCGTTTTTGCTCCGCATCGGACGTCCAGTGCGAGCGCTATATAGCCATGGACGGAGCGCAATGGCTGCTAGGTATCTTACTCAATTTCTTGGAGGAATTGCTACCTTTTACATGCCGATGCCGCACATGCCAAGCCCGATTTCATTAACAGACAGCATCATCAACAAAACGAAGTTCTCGGTTGTTCAGAAAGGCCACTATCAAGATCCGCTCTTAGCGCTCAAGGAGGTGGTTTCTACTGCTAATGCAGACGTAAATGACGACGACTCGGAGGCGATAGCGTCCCTTATGCACGGAAGTGGAACGCGATGGTTCAAAACGCGACCGGAGGATGGCTTACCATTTCCTTTAAAACCGGCGGACCTTCAGGATGACATGGTGGCAGCCAGGTGCAGGGTACGAGATGAGCTTATGAAGTAAGGGGTCCTTGCAGACGAGACTAGGCATGTGGCGGACGAGTGGTGTAGTAACTGGAACTTCGATTCTGTCACCATATTCCTATCAGTTCATCGATTTTCACTTGGGGTCAATGCGTCGTACATCTCAGAAGCGCCCTTCAGACACGTTCACTAGCAGACCTTTACCACAGGCAGGCACTTCTCAATTCGTTGCTTGTTTATGTCCAGTACGTTTACTAATTTTTGTAATATGAACTGGTTTTGTTGACCCTGGTCCCCATCCACTGAATGCGAACAAGCGAGCCCGCTTCGACAAAATTATTTTCGTTCGACTCGTTCCTTCCACATTTTGTTAGGACCACTCAGACCTACTCTCTGCGACACAAATTTGACACCAACGACTTTACTTGCTTCCAGTTTGCAAGAATCGACCTGCACCTTGGACCAATATGTCAACGCCCAAATGAGCCAATGGCTACAAAGAGTCTCCTGGTTGCCCAATAGAAACTTGGATTGGATGCTAAGGCCCAGCAGTTTCCCGCAACTAGCACATCTCAGTCCTCCTTCATGATTCCGAAAAGTCGCCTGGCCCTCGTTATTGTTTTCTGCTTCGTGCTTCCCAGGCACTCGTACATTTCCATTTATTTTTTAAGTTTCGCCGGTTCCATGCCTTGCGTCTCAATATTCTTGCATGTAAGTACATTCTTACGGTGCTCTTGTTGTTATTATATACGTCAAAGAGAGCATGAGAATTATACTTCGTACAATCTTCTTCTGTTCTGAAGAATCTCTTACCCAGTCATCTTTAAAACACGTCGTTCGCACTGCGATTTCAAATACAACACTACGTATACATGCAATAGACCAATAGACGATGGATTAGCTACACACTCGATTATTGCACTCTATAGTATCTGGCATCTCCGCAAGTCAATTTGCTGGGACGGGTTGATCGTAATCAAGAGCTACAATGACCGAATTGATTAACTGCGAAGAACGTAAAACAATGGATACTCACTCCTTACAGTAGTGCTGCCAGCGTGTCCCATGTGCCATGCGACTCAAATCAAGCTCAACACATCTTTTCCCAATCACTAATGCAGTCCAAGAATTATAAAATGGTTCTCGGGAAGTGGGTGGTACCCAGAATAAGAGCCGACGATTTGGTCCTAACACCCATCCATCAGCTCCCAGCAAATAAGTGTGGTCGTCGTCAGAGGCGCCTGCGAGTAGCTCAGCAGTGTCGCACAGAGTATGTGTCGAGTTGGATGAGAAGGAAATAAAGTTGTTGTTCACAGTGTTGGGTGTGGGGATAACCACTGTTGGATGTGAGATACAACTGCCGTGTGGGGAGGATGGTGAACGGTCTGCTTCGGCGTGGTCCTGCAATGACTTCCTGATTGCTGCATACCAGACACGGACAGTACCATCATGTGAACAAGAAATGATGCGAGTCCCATCCCATGAGAAAGAGACTGAGTTGACCTCTTCAGTATGCCCGCGCAAGGGCTGTCCGATTGGCTGCCCTGTCGCTACATCCCACAGCCTGACAGTCATATCGAGCGAACCAGAAACAATGCGAGTCCCATCAGGCGAGAACGAGACTGATTTGACCCAATCAGTGTGTCCCTCCAAGGGCTCGCCAATGGGCAACCCCGTTCCTGCGTCCCACAACCGGATTTTTTCATCGTCCGAACCAGAGACAATGCGAGTTCCATCCCACGAGAAAGCGACTGAGTTGACCTCCTCAACGTGCCCCTTTAAGGGCTCACCAATTGGCTGCCCCATCACTGCATCCCACAGCCGAACTGTCTTATCATCCGAGCCAGAAACGATACGAGTCCCGTCCGGCGAGAACGAGACTGAGTTGACGGAAGAAGTATGTCCCTCCAAGGGTTCACCGATTGGCCGCCCCGTTCCTGCATCCCACAGCCGGACCGTCTTATCCCTCGAACAAGAAACGACGCGAGTTCCATCCGGCGAGAATGAGACCGATGAAACCGAAGAAGTGTGCCCGCGACAAGGTTCACCTATTAACTGACCCGTCCCTGCATCCCACAACCGGACAGTCTTATCTGCAGAGCCAGTTGCGATGCGAGTCCCATCCAGAGAGAACGAGACCGAGTGAACTTCTGCAGTGTGCCCCAGCAAGGGCTCACCGACTGGCTGCCCTGTTGCTGCATCCAACAGCCGCACAGTGCCACCCTTGGAACCAGTTGCGAAGCGGGTCCCATCCGGCGATAGCGAGACTGAGGTAATCGAATTGGCGTGGCCTCGGAAGGGCTCATCAACTGGCTGCTCTGTAGATACATCCCACAGTCGGACAGTATTATCAGCAGAACCAGTCGCAATGCAACTTCCATCCGGAGAGAATAAGACTGAGTAGACATAACTGGTGTGTCCCACCAAGGGCTCACCGACCGGCTGCCCTGTTGTTGCATCCCACAGCCGGACGGTTTCATCATCCGAACCTGTAACAATGCGACTTCCATCCGGCGAGAACGAAACTGACCTCACCCAATCAGTGTGTCCCTCCAAGGGCTCACATATGGGTTTCCCTGTCGCTGCATCCCATAGTCGGACAGTCTTATCTGCAGAACTAGTTGCGACGCGAGTTCCATCCGGAGAGAACGAGACTGATAAGACTGAAGAAGTGTGCCCTGTCAAGGGCTGCCCAACTGGTTGCCCTGTTGCCGCTTCCCACAGCTGGACAGTCTTATCGTTTGAACTAGAAACGATGCGAGTCTCATCCGGCGAGAACGACACTGAGTAAACCCCACTAGTGTGCCCCCGTAAGGGTTCACCAATTGGCTGCCGCGTTGCTGTATCCCATAGCCGGACCGTCTTATCGTCTGAACCGGAAATGATGCGAGTCCCGTTCGGCGAGAATGAGACCGATGAAACTGAAGAAGTGTGCCCTAATAAGGGTTGACCAACGGACTGCCATGTTTTTACGTCCCACAACCGGATAGTGTTATCGGCCGAGCCAGACACGATGCGTGTCCCATCTGGCGAGAATGAAACTGAATAAACTGACTTGGTGTGCCCCAGCAAGGGCTCGCCTACTGGTTGCCCAGTCGCTGCATCCCACAGTCGCACAGTGCAATCCACTGATCCGGTTGCAATGCGAGTCCCATCTGGTGAGAACGAGACTGAGTTAACCGTATCTGTGTGTCCGGTGATCACGGTCTGAACAACCGTCCAGTTGATATCACGTCCGGATGCCAGATGAAGAGAGTTGGGAAACCGTGCAGAAAACATTCTGAATAGCGGTGAGTTCAAGGGCGAGAACGGCAATGCTGACACATAGAGATGCGGTGTGCTGCGCAAAATGAGGCATCCGAAGACTTGGATAAATCTCTGCACGTCCACTGCAGCGGACGAGGCATCTTCATATCCAGTGTGACCCTGCAATTGTGATTGTGTGTGAGCGAGCATGTTATATAACACTCAATAATAATGTACTCACCTTCAACCACTTGGCAATAAGCGGGAGAGTGGTGACTGCGCCGCTCAGCGCATTGATAAGGCTGAGTACCTCGAGCCAGAAGAACAGTCGCTCATGCTCGAAAAGTGATTTTATTTCTTTGGCGAGGTCTGGATCGAAGCGAGTTGTTTGTACATGGACAGGCCAAAATCGACAGGCATAGGATAGATGTGGAGGGATGCATTTTTCAACTCGGTCTAGCAGCCCGGGATCTTCGGAATTGGGGAGATACGATGATTTTAGATCGCAGATATTGAAGGAAAGTCCGTGTTCCATCACTCGAAGCGATGCGAAAGCAAGGTCGCGTTGTACTTTTGACACGTCGATGAAAAATTCTCCACTGTGTGATTGGTCTGTCAGAAAGTCGCGGAAAGAGACATGAAGGGGCCGGATTGGGGTAGATGAGTTTGTGGTGCCGCTGAGGAGGGATCCCATATGTTTGACCATGACTTGCACTTCGTAGCGCTCGCTTTTGTCTGGAAAATGGTGACGCATGGCGTTCAGGGACTCCAGAGGAAGAGGTTCAGATGCGCCAAGGACTTGTCCCATCACGGAACGAAATCTTGTTAGCTGTTTGTGCCGAGACGTGGAATGTGGAGATTTATCTATTCGCATGATCTCCGTCAAAATGAACTCGTACATATCATACAACAAATTTTCCCGCTCAGCGGGATTGCGGGATACCACAGCATCGAAGGACTCGAACGGAGATAAGCCAGGAGGGGGTGCTTTGATGGATTTACAAGCAAGACGCGCCCACTCAAACAGGCCATCAGCTTTTTTAGCAAGCGCCGCAAACTGTGTGTCCCCAAAATCCGAAGACTCTTCCAGCTCGTTCGATATGTAGGCGTGGATGTCACGCTCTGTGGTGGCTGATGAAATGTCGTCCATGGACATCCGTCGAATATGCTGAGCGCCTGCAAGCGCTGCTTCTATATCATGGAGCGGGCGAGAAGTAACGATGATCCGGAAGTTTTTAGGGAGTTTCGTGATGTGGGTGATGGTTGGAT